GGTCAAGTTTTCCTGTACGGATTTTCTTGCATTATTGCTCCATACCTAAAACCTTTTATACAAAATCTGCTGTGTGCACAACACTGATCGCCATAGAACTTTTCCTCCTCAGATTTCTGTGATGGCGTGCATTAACCTTCACAGCCTTCCAAGGAGAAAGCAGGGGATTGCTGCCTTTCCAAAAGCTACACACAATGTCTAAAATACACATGTAAAGCACAGCACCGGCCTCAAGCACAGTGGCTGGCAGGCTGCAGGAGGGCACTAAATGTTGCTGAGTGAAAGTATGGAATAAAAGGGTGAACACATGCCGGCATGCATAGATGCATCTTCCCCTTGCCACTTACATATTCTCCAAGTAGAAGAAAAGAAAGACCAAAGTCTGGATGTGTACAGAATATTCCTTTAGGTCAGCAAACTACAGCCCCATGGATCAAATCCGGCCCACTGCCCACTTTTGTAAATAAAGTTTCAGTGGAACACTGCCATGCTCATTCGTGTATTGTCTGTGCTTGTTTTCACGCTACAACAGTAGAGTTGAATCATTATGACAAAGATCACAAGGTCCACAAAGCCCAAAATATTTCCTATCCGGCTCTTCACAGAAAATGTTTGCCTGACCCCACTTTAAAAAACAAAGGTTTGTCCTCTAAAGGAAAGAGGTACATAGAAGTTGCTAAAAGAAAATGCCACGCTGACAACAAGAAGCCATACCTCATAGAAACACAGTAAGTAAAAACAACAACACAGTCATCCCTGGAAAGAGAGGGGCCTTAACTCAATCTGTTTTCATCTGCTTTAAACTTAAAAGAATTATTAATTAGAGTATATGTGCCTGTAATTTTCAATACCTCAGGTGGCATATTTCTGTGAGACAAAATTTCACCAGGAAACTTAAAACTTAACTTGCTAAAATCAGTAAATTGAGTATGTTGACTAAATTTTGTTTTTTGCAGTTAAGTCTATCTAAGTTTAGATTTACTCTAATCAAAAGGATTAGACAAGTAGAAAGAGTTCGCAAGCTCTTGTCATCAAAACAGAAGTTCTTTAAAAACAAAAACACCTTTATTTTGGCTTTCAAATATTTATATAGTCATAGTAAACTACAGACAATTTGCTAATTTTTTCAAATATACACCTTTTGATTAGTTGAAAATCTGAAGCTTGATATTAATTTTATCTTTATTTTTGATACAATTTCCTTCTAATTCTATTAATAACTTCTGACCTAAAAGCTCTATCATTATCCAAATTCCAAGCATTCCAAGCTGAACAGACCAGCAGTGACTATTTTTGATAAAAATGTTGAAAGTTCAAATTTCAAAATTTCTCTAACTCTTAAACACACTTGATTTCTCCATTCTCCAGATGTAACTCTGTCACAGGCATCCAAGACCAGGGATAACTCCCCATTTCTGAATCCTAAACAAAGACCTTCCTGCTGCAGCATCAAGCCAAGCTGGTTTGGCAACCATTTTTATATTTATTGTGAAATCTGTTATAAAGCCAAGTTAGGCCTATACTGCTTTTGTTAATACTGTCACATATCATAACAAGTAATTTAAGTTACTAAAACTGTAATTAGATATGAAGTCAGCAGCCTTCAGAGAAGATCACAAAGTTACTTTTGTCCACTGTATTGTATTGACATTGACACTTAAAACCCAATTTCACTGCAGAACCAATCAAAAATTGCAGAGAACTAAAACAGCAGAAAGAAAGGCTCTTCGATCAAGGTGTGATAGAAGGCAATATCTAAATGCCTAGGCCAACTGACTTTATTCAATAGTGCAAAAAAAAAAAAAAAAACTTTAGGCTACAGTGACAAGCAGTGGAAGGCACCAGCAGCAACCTCTGGAGAATGTGTTTTACTTAAATTAGGCATTGTAACAAAAATCAAGTTTGGTAAAATTTAACAAAGCCTAACATTACACTAAAATCCATTTCTCTGCTTCATTATTTTCATTTGTGCTGGATGCTTCAGGACTGCACGATGGTATAAATTAAAAAATTAGTGTGATCATATGAGAACTGGTGCCAATTGGCTTCATTTTCAAAGAAGTGGTGAGCTTAGCTATCTGACGTATATACCTTCATACAAGTGACTGCCTTCAAATTTCTTTCTAGGCGTGTCAAAGCACTTTTGTGTTTCTCTCATTTAAAATACAGGAGAGGGGGGCGCCTGGGTGGCTCAGTCGTTAAGCGTCTGCCTTCGGCTCAGGTCATGATCC